TAATTTGATATGATTTGGGGTATAAATATTTATAATAGTAATATTAGTTTTACGCTATTAACCCAGTGGACCAACTTCCAGCATTTGCGTTTCCATTTACGTTTCCATTGTTACTCCCAGTGTTATTATTTCCATTTGCATCGCCGTTAAAAGATCCATTATTATTATTACCGTTCTGGTTACCGTTGGCGGTTCCATTATTGTTGTTTCCATTAGAATTGCCATTGAATGTTCCGTTATTATTGCTTCCGTTCTTTTTGTTTGATCAATAAAATCTTTTGATAAATATCATTGATTTAATCATAATTATCATAATTTCAAATTAAATTTTTTACCTGATTTCCATTACTATCACCCGTATTATTATTGCCGTTCTTATTTCCATTAGAATCACCAGTATTGTTATTACCGTTCTAAATTAAAAAAAAGGAACGAGCTAAGAATAATTATGAAAATACAAATCTTTAACATTCTTTATACCTTACCTGATTACCATTAAAGCTGCCCGTGTTATTTATACCATTCTGATTACCGTTGAATGAACCAGTGCTGTTATTACCATTCTGATTGCCATTAAACGATCCTTCATTATTGACACCGTTAGCATTTCCGTTGAAGGATCCACTATTATTGTCCCCATTCTTATTACCTTAAAGTAACAATTCAATGCAGGAAAAAAGTATTAAAATATTTTTATTTTTATACAAAAAAGTAAAATAGAATATGAAATTACCATTAGAGTCACCAGTGTTATTAACACCATTCGAATTTCCATTGAATGAACCGGTACTATTATTGCCGTTTTGATTTCCGTTAAACGAACCGGTATTATTATTGCCATTACTATTTCCATTCGAGCTGCCATTGTTCAAATTACCATTTGCATCACCGTTGAAATTTCCTGTGCTATTATTACCATTTTCGTTACCATTGGACGATCCATTGTTTTTGTTACCGCTATTTTGGTGTAAAAAATTTGAATTCAATTAATAGGTATTTAAAAAAACATCTAGAATATAACTTTTACTTACTTAGAATTTCCATTAAAACTTCCGGTACTATTGTTTCCATTAGCATTACCATTAAGATCACCAACATTATTATTACCATTAGCATTGCCATTAGAATTTCCGGTGCTATTGTTTCCATTTTCATTTCCATTGCCACTTCCGGTGTTGTTATTCCCATTTTCGTTTCCGTTGTTGTTTCCGATGTTGTTATTTCCACTTGCATTTCCATTGTTCGAACCAGCATTGTTGTTTCCATTCTCATTACCATTTCCAGAACCGGCATTATTATTTCCGCTTGCATTTCCGTTGTTCGAACCAGTATTGTTGTTTCCATTTCCATTCCCGTTGTCTGAACCAGCATTATTGTTTCCGCTTGCATTTCCATTGTTCGAACCGGCATTGTTGTTTCCATTCTTATTACCATTTCCAGAACCGGCATTATTATTTCCGCTTGCATTTCCGTTGTTCGAACCAGTATTGTTGTTTCCGTTTCCATTTCCGTTGTCTGAACCCGCATTATTGTTTCCACTACCGTTACCGTTATTCGAGCCAGCATTATTGTTTCCATTACCGTTGCCATTATTCGAGCCAGCATTATTGTTTCCATTACCGTTGCCATTATTTGAACCAGAATTATTGTTTCCGTTACCGTTGCCGTTATTTGATCCACGATTACCGTTTCCGTTACCGTTTCCGTTACCACTGCCTATATTTCCATTTCCATTACCGTTTCCGTTTCCGCTACCTCGTTTTATGATTCCAACTGGTCGAGCCGAAACTTTCAATCCAAATGAAAGAATCGCGATTGATATGCACGACAATAAAACAACAATAAAAAGTTTTTTTGTCATTTTGGGCTCTCTTCTGAATAATAGAAGCTTTGTGGAAAAAGCAGCTAACACTTTATATATATATATATATATATATGTTAAAACGATCTGGCTGTGTGGATCAGATTGGCTGTGTTTTCCGTGGCTTCTTCTATTAATATAAGCCAAGCATTTTAATAATTAAATAATATTTATTCATGTTTTTCAAGTGAAGTTAAGAAGACATAAAATTAGATTGGAAAAACTTTTTCTGTAAAATAAAGCTATTAAAGAGGTAAAAGTTAATAGAAACAATAAACAGCAAGCTTTTACTCTCTTCCTTATCGTAATCCAACCTAATTAATCAAGTTAGCAAATTAATATATATAGCCAATCGAATAATCATCAAAGCCTCGAAGGCCAAAATTCCTTAATAAAAACAATAAAGAGCTCATCGTAATCAAGCAAGCTAGCCAATTAATATATATTCATCAAAGCCTCTCTTATAACGACTCATTAACCTTTTGGTTTGCACGACACCGTGGAAAACTATAGTAGAAAATGAAAAATTGAGAAATCACACAGCCATTGCACACATATTTTCAACAATCGCAAAGCCAAAAAAAATTAGGTAGCAAAGCCAAAAACTTACGATCAATACTCGATCAGCAAAACACAAATACCGATGTTTTAGTTCGATTCTGTTAACAAAAATTCTGGATCTTTACCTGATCTGGACAATTTTATTCTTCGGGGGATAATTTTTTGATTAACCATTACCCATTTTGTACAATATAATGGTCATTATACAATGAAATGGGAGATGAGTTCATTCATCTAACGCGTAATACCCTAGCCACGGCGATGTCGATCCAGGGCATTGAAATATCCGGTGTCAAAATAGGATTAGAATTCGAGTAAAAAATTACATTATCTCGACATTTTTCAAGATAATCTTTTGTCAGATATTATCTTTCAGATAACCCAAGTCATGGCGAAAAAAAAGTTACGAATCATGTGGTTTTGGGGGGGGGGGGGGTAAACCAATCAAATCATAAGATAGGAAATGTTAATAGCGTCTTCATTAAGGTTAGGTTTAGAGTCAGAGTTATGAATATAATCTCAAATGTGTAGTAAAATTTCGCAAGAAACATTTTTTGTTAAAGCACAGTTTTACGGAAGTGTGACCATAGATGCTACACAAATCTAATTTTTTGACATGAAACTTTGGTATATATAGAGTTTTATTAAAAAGTTTTTGCCAATCTAATTTGTTGGGATGGATTTTGGGATTTTCTCTTGGTATAAGCATCTTAAGATGGGTAGATCAAATTTATAGTCCCAATTAAATAAAGAATATAAGAGAAACAAATGTAAACATTAACTCACTTGACCGAACAGTCTTCTAGATTATCCCGTCAACTGCTGAAAGTTGGTCCACTGGGTTAATAGCGTAAAACTAATATTACTATTATAAATATTTATACCCCAAATCATATCAAATTA